GAATCGTTGAGAAGTGTCGAAACGTGTATAGTAACAAACTTCCATATAGTATTTGTTATATAAATGTATATATATTTAGTTAAGTAAACGTGTATATACCAATCTATGAAGAAAATGTGGTAGAATATGTTTCCTTTGCATATTGTGCGAACGAAGCCGTCTGTAGTAAAAATACGGTGACGTCATTGACGTCGACCGAAAGCACAGGCACCATCGGAAAACAGTGACGATACGTAAGTCACTGGTTGACTGGACAGCTGATGGGTTTCAGCTGGCGAACCCAGCTCCAGCAGCCGGACCATACTTACTGACTCTTGCAGAGAAAACGGCTACGCCCTCTAGGTCCTATTTACCATCAGGGCAATCGAGGTGATGTGGCAGCAGCGTTCTTTTGGATGTGAACAAGCTAAAAATCACCGTATCTTCTGTGGTCGGTGGTTTTAATATCTAAACGATTACATCTAAGATAGCGGTCATATCCATTCATTTGATTATTATGCTAATTTACGAAAGCCATTTTCTGCCCCCTTCTTCTTTTAATGTCGTGTTCGTTACTGTTGCTACTGCCGCTCACATTGCATTGGATAGTTCTCTCTTCTGTACACAAGCTCGTTAGCACCACTTTACTTGGATGAAAGTATTTTTATTTCATATTCGAAACATGAATGTCCGATAGCGGAAAAATAACTTTATTTTTCTTCCGAGGCCAAAGACTGCTAGAACAACACCGAATTAGTGTGATGTACTAGAAAATGTTACTTAAAAATGTTATCTTTATCTAACGAGCACACAGCGCTCGACCTTCTGATTTCGTCGGGAATTGCCTTCAGCAATTTTTGACGTATTTATTGGACAATCCTAAATCTCTATGGAAGTGCTCACCGTATGCAGAAAATACCTACTTCATTCGATATCTTCTTGACACAAAAAAAAAAATGAAAAATGGGAAGTGTCAGAGATGCTGTTTCACTCGACACACCCATTTTTAGAATTTGAACAAATCGATGACAATATTTTTATAGGTCAGTGAAAAGGCTTTGTATACTGCTTGGCTACGAGTCAAAATTTTCAAGGGATATCACTGAAGCGCCAATCTGGTATATCACTATGTCACTATTTTTGGCGAAATTATCTCTATATTTACGTTACGATTTTTCAAAAGAAAGGTCATCTTCATGATCTCTATAGGTTTTGACTGGGTCTCACTTTATTCACGTGCATCCTTTGAATATTAAGACTACCTTTTAGTGCATTTGCAGTTCAGCGATCATCCATCGTAGCCGTTCCTCTTGGCAGATATGCCCGCCAGAACATTATCTCGTCGTCTTAGCTTCAATGGCTATATCTATAGATTCGCTTGTATCGTTGACATAACGCTAGATTCGTATCTCATAAGCCAGCTAAACAGCTCACCATATTTGAAATCGCGTTTTTGTTCAAACTCCAATATTATTGTACATATGCTACATGGGTTTTCCATATACATCGAATGCATTTTTTGTTTGCTGTTCCCTTCCTACGAACAGTTTTTCATCACGCGTCTCCGCGGCGTTTGTAAGCTCTACGTGTGTACAGCGACAGTGGCGAACATGCTCCACACATCCACACTCACAGGCACGCATATAAACAGGCACAGATATATACACACACATTCTGACCGTTTTGGCGCAGGTTGCCAAGACCGTGATATAATGGCTATCCAAAATATCAACAGGTTGTCAGCGGTCTGCTGGGTCCCTTTATAGTTTGGCCCTCTCCACTGGTTGTTCCCTCTCCTCCATTGCTTCACTCTCTATTTGCTTTTTTTGTGACTCACTTTACCCTCTTACCATTACCAGCATCGCCATTCCCCAACAGTGGCCGCCACCACCGTTTTAAGCGGTTGGCAACAATCCTATACCCCTGGCACCGTTCTCTAGCCTACTCTAATCAGCCCTTACTCCGCCTATGCTTAGGCACTCCGTAACAACCACCCTTCAAGGCCACGGCGCCTTCTTGTGTGGCCTCCATGTTGCGAGTCCCTGCGTTCTGGTTAACGTCGGCAAACAAAACGGAAGCAGCAGCAGTCGCCACTTGTCCTTTAGTCATGCTCAGACAGGTGACGAACGAGCCGCCATCCGCCTTCGTTTGTTCGTTCTGCAGTACAGTCACGATAACGGCACCAACAGAGGCGACCGCTAGTACCGAAATAAACGTATACAAGAACGACGAGGGTGTGTATAGTAATAATAGTACTAACAGCGTTTATAATGTAACACTACGTATGAGTTGATCCTGCTTTAACTCACCACTCCGTTACTTTCTCAGGCGCATGAGACTCAGCGACGATCCCACCAGCAACAGAGATGGTTTCCCTCTTGTAACTATATTCGCTACTATACCCCCGTATCGAACGTCTTTGTCAGCCTACGTTTTTGTACACCGCCATGTAGTCGATTGATTGAATTCCTTTGAAAAAAAATCCTCAACGACAAGCATATATATTTTCTTTTCTTCTTCTAAATTTTTTTGTCGATATATAGTTATGCTATGGCGACTGACATGCCAAGTCGGCTGATGCTGTTACGCGTGTGGCAGGTAGATAGTAGAAAGGTTTTTGAAAAAATCATCCACGCGAACGAAAGATCTTCTGCGAGCTGCACAAAGGCGCATGCGGTAAAACTACTAATAATTACAACAACAGCGCTACCTAGCTCATATTTACTTTATTATATAGTTATGCCACCAACGCCTATTAATTAGCTAATATTATAAGATTTGCGCGTTCAATTCGCCCCACTCCGTTACAAACTTTGCAACGAACACATGGACCGTACACGCGGACACATGTGGATATCAGCCGACCCCGACAGCATAACATACACATACGCACACGCCTCTGTGTAGCGTTTCCTCTTACGCGTTCCGTAGGTCGATTGTTCATCGTTCCCAGAATCGCACTCAAATACTGCGCGGGACCTAATAATGGTGGCAGTCATAGCCGACGCCACGGTCATAGGCAGCCGTCGTTGTCGACATCGACAATTGTTGTCATCAACTGGTAAAGAGATACGACGGTATCGACGAGGTTTCCTTCCTGCCTTGTCTTTGTTTGCCCGCCCGCCTGCTCGGCGCCTTATAGTTTCACTAGTCTGCGTGGCATATTTTGACCACGTGACAGAGCAAGGACCGAGGGAACCAACCGATGCCATGCACTCATTCGTTCAGTCGGCCATTAAACCTTCTGTTATTATTGATGTGCGTTCTTGGGCTATTTGTACGGTACTGTTGTGAAGCGTTTCCTTTTGTCTTACATGCTAGAATTGAGATAGGCATATTCCGAATCAGTCATAAACAGCATTGGCCTACATGATCGTCTCTGAGTAGTCCCCGTCGACATCAGTGAGACCATCTTAGACGGTGGTGATAAAGCTTAGACCAATCGTACTGCTGCATTGGTCCCATAAGAGTTCTTTCCGCGGTACCCAAACACTGGCTTCGCTCTATCCCCGGTCAGGGCGTATCCATATCCATGCTGCAATTCGTACAGGTAGTCGTTCTTCAATGGATGGTAGGTATCTTTCTTCGTGTGTGTAGGAACCTACTAAACACGCACGAACTCCGTCAAAAAAGCTAAACATTAATCGTTGACGACAGCGCCGCTGCCGCCGTCGTCGTTGCCACCATGTAATCAGGTTACTTGTGCCGGTTGTTACATGTTTGACTACAGATGTTTCTACCCCCCCCCCCCCCCCCCAAACGTACGCACGGACACGCGATAACCGTTACACTTAGCGGGCGTAACGTCATTGAATCGGTGGCTCGAGACAGCCTGCCATAGACGCTTTGCCCTGTCGATTCTTCGATCCCTGCATACACCCGCTTATGTCCGTTAGACCCTTAGTCTGCTTACATGCTATCATCCTGCCGTCAGGCATGCACGGACAAACAGCATGCACGCAGATGAGCAAGTTGGCTTGTATGCATTTGGCGTGCCCAGTAGCCGCGCCGATGCACTCACTGTTCCCAACTACCGTGTCGCATTTACTCTTCCCTCGTACCGTCAATTTATCCACCTACATTTTCCATTTTGTAGTCGGTAGTGTGTGGGTGCATGTGTACATAGACATCGTCGACGATGCCTATGTTCTGCCTGCGTGTGCCGGTCCCAATGCAGCTGTAGGCGGGACAGTAGCACAAGGGTAGTACAGCAGGTACGTTTGTGTATGTACATCTGTCGGCTAATGATAGTTCCCGTGAGTCTGTGTGTGTGGGCAATGGCTGGGTGCGTGAAACATTGGCAACGCGTGTCTACGTGTCTGCATGAGCTAGAGAAATCGTCGAGCTGGTCCAGCGGAACATTCTAACTCATGTTATGATGATAATAGGTTCTACCTAGAGGGGTAAACGAACGAACGACCGATCGACCGCCTGACAGACAGACCAACGAGACAGCTGTGTGTCTGGGTGTGCGCGTGTGTGTGTGTCTCTGTGTGTGTGCGTGTGAGTCTGTGAGTGTGTGTGTTTGTGTGTATGACAGCCGTCTATACCGCTGCTGTTAAAAGTAATGATAGTGGCGGTTGTGCGGCCATAGTGAACAGTATATGAGCCTGCGGCCGTACCTTATTCTATGTGTGTATCTGGACTATGTATATTATTTCTCTTCTGTGCATGCCGTCCATTCGTACCGCGACCTGTACACACACACGCACACTTATTTTGTGTGGGAAAGTGCTATGCTATGGGTAGTATCGCACCTGCGACAGCTTAAGGCAAGGCAAATCGCTCTCGTTACTGCTCTGTGCTCGAGCGGCGGCTGGTTCTGCCACTGCCATCACCATCGTCGGCCGGCGCCAGCGCCGCCGCTGCCGTGAGCTGTGTGAGTTGAGCCGCCGCTACTACTGCTAACTGTGTGTGCCCTTTCCCTAAGACCCTTTCGACTGACGTCGGCGGGCCCGCAGCGGGCCGGCGACGGGCCGCCGGTCAGATCGCACGGCCGTCTACGGGGAACGGCCGTCCTACGCCGGACGAGGACGAATAGTCGACAACGACGACGGCGAGCTGAATCGAGTTGAGTTGAGTTGAGCCGGACTGCAGTTTAGTCGCTGAGCAGCAGAGAGTAAATTAAGCACAGAGAAAATAAGGCAAATAACGAAGTAATGAAAGATTTCAACTAAACGAGAATAAGGCAAACATAGGAAAGCTTTAAACGAAAGGATTGAGAGCGAAGGCGACGCTCGTTTGCATCCAGCCAAGCTCGAGTAGCAACAGCGGACCGAGCTGCGCCAACGGACTTTAGCAACCGCTACGAGTATTTAAAACTTGAAACTGGAGAAAGAGACTGACAGACAGAGAGAAGAGAGAGGCCCCCAAAACGACGTCGATGTGACATATTGCCAAAACGGATAACTGAAATCATAGAACAACGCACGAACAGATCACTTCAGAAGAACTTGGAAGACAGAACAGAAACCATTCATAAGAGCAACGACAACAACAATAGCAGCAACGTGTTAGTAATTATTTGATCTGTGCTTTTTCACGGGTCTCACCCTCACTCACGACGACAACGACACTTATCGTGGCCATTAGCAAGATTAATATTAACCTGCGCCTGTTATTAGCGTTGAGGTCTACAGTCGGGCTCCTCGTCGTCGTCGTCGTCGCGTTCGCTTCACGAACGGCCATCTGCCCTAAAAGCCGGCCAGTCGAGTCTGGCATCGACCACAACGAGAGTGGCAATCGCTACTGCGACTACGAAATTGGCCGGCCAGCCAGCCAGCCACGGAATGCGAACAGGCAGCGACGCTGGCCATCAAGATAATCATCAACAACAAAAGCGGCAGCAGCAACAGCATCATCGTTGGCATCAACGTTTACAACATGGTACAGCAGCGTGATGAAGTCATGATTGACATGTGCAGTTATCGGCGGGATAAGTGTCCATGAGGGAACGGAACAGAAACAACGAAAACTCCACAAAAAGTACCACAGTGTCTGTGTCAACGTATTTTACTTTGCTACCAACGATCGAAGCGACATCGCTACCTGTGCGGATGGTGTAACAAACCCAGTAGATCTAGGTAGAACGCCAGATATAGAGCAGGAAAGCGAGAGAGAGAGAGAGAGCGCGCGAGAGAGAGAGAGAGAGAGAGACGCAGAAAAACGAGTCAGGGAAAGAAAAGGTTACAGGATTCCTATTTGGCACTATCGCAATCGGAGTCGGTGGCGTGTCATTAGTCCGTATGTTTAGCTGTCAACTTCGTTGATTTGGTACACTCTATTCGATGGTGTATTTGTGTTCGGTGTCACAATCGAGAAAAAGTGTCGTATGGCCGTTTTATGATGTCCGACTGCTGTTATTACTAATGTACTATCGCTTTGATACAATCACGTCGATATCAGATCCTCTTTCTACCTATCGACGTCTTCCTCTTTTCTTCCGTGTCTGAAAATGACGACCGCCCACCATTGATTAATACCACGAATACTACTACCACCACTACATCTAAAAAGTACATATATATATGTATATTTAAAGTAATATATATGTATATATGGTTTCGGAAGTATTACGAACAAATAGCACACACCACAAATAGCGTAAGTAGTTCACAGAAACAGAAAGCCTACAGTCGGATAGGTCTATTTTTGTGTCCGCCATGAAACATTTAAAAGAGGTGACTTAATCGACGTTATAGACAACAATAACAATAGTCATTATAAAAACAACAACAACAAAAATAGCACGACCAGCAGTGGTGATCGCCCAGTAGCATCACGTTTTTTCATGTGACAAAAATGCGACCCGAACCGGAAACAGGTCTCAGTCAGGATGGCGGCACCATACCGGCTAAACCTGTAATAAGTGTAATTTAAAAAGACGATGAAGCTCAAGTCCAAATCGAGAAACCTTCACCCGTGCAGCCCATAAATCCTAGTTCTCCATTCCGATATTCAGCTATATACGTATCGCCCAACCCCCAATCAACCCAATCTAGAAAATTCGAGCGTAGCTCGGGATCGGAAATAAGCACAATGTCATCGAATCGGATTTATTGAATGTAATCAAACGGTTGAAATTAACTGTACAACAACAACATCACCAGCTCCAGCTTGTTTCGACAGCACCCATATATACATATACATATATATACATACATATATACACATACATATATATATCAACAACAACGGAGCAACAACCTAGTGTTCTTTGTTTGTGCTTTCCTTGGATTCTGTGAGACAAACCGTTTACGTACCGGATACTCAGCACAATGTCAGCGGCGAACGTGTGTGTTTTTGTAGCGGAGGATCGCTTCCAGAATAGAAGGGTAAGTTCGACACGTACGTATATATCTAGATATATATATATATGCACTGAGTGTGAATGAGAGAACAAACCGGTACGAATTTAATAACGGAACACGGAAGTTTGCCACGTTTCAATAACGGTATAAGTGGTTTTCATTCGGTCGGGCCCCATTTAGAACTTGTACGAGGTCCCATGACGCATGGCAACATGAGCCTTCTCCAACGATGTTACGTCTTTTAGCCTCAAGCTGTACGGCAGATCCTTTCTTTGTCTAAAATAAAGAAATAGCTCCAGCACACGTTTCACTTTAGTTCCACTCCTAGATAACAGTGTATTGTCATGGTACTGAAGTGCTCTCCGATCACAAAATCATCATGCAGACGTGCGTTGCCAACCGGCGTACTCCGACTCTTGAACCGTGCTTATCGTCTGTGTGCGTCTGACGCAAATGCGACGTAAGTTACGAAGGCTACGAGACTGGACAAAGGAAAAAGATGATGGTGGTGGGGGGTGGAGGGGGCTCGCCAGAGGCAACGAAGCCGGGGTCAACAGCCAAATGGGTCGGCGGTAGCGGCCACTTCAACCGAAATGGGTTAGTTATGTAATATCTAACTGTTGACTAGAGAGTTGTTAAACATTATGCCTGTTGGACTTAAACAGTGAGAACGACAACGGGATTGCTAATAGAATGTTAGGCTAGGATCTTACCTATTACGTATAATCCTAGAGGCTTTTGATAGGGCCCTAAAAAAACTCGAAATGGATACATGTAGGTGTATAATCGTGTCATTTGAACTGTAGGATTACACGCCTGGCCAGACTGGCGTTCTACGGAGTTGCCGCCGTCAGTAATAAATAGTTCAGCTGTTATAAAGTTCCGCTGCGTAACGTGGGACGACTAGCTGTTCTGTAATAGAGTTGATCGAGCCCATTTTCTTTCACAGGGTGTGTGTCTGTCGGAAACAAATCGCTTGGTGACATCCGACAGGAGAACATGTAACGAGATAAACAAAGATGGTCGTTTACAGTCTAATTATGCAGCAAACTTGCAGAGAGCTGTGGTGACTGTTGACGCTTCCGATAAGCGATTACAAGTGCTACATCCATTCAACCACAGAAAAAAAAATTTGTCTCGATGCCAATTGTTCAAGACGACTTTTACTGTTACCTCAGCTTAACTGGTTGTCATTTGTCGGTTTAAGCATACGATCATAGACAGAACGTTACGTATATCGAGTATGTACGTACAGAGTAAGGGAAAGATGTTATCCGTCTACAGTTTGGCTAGAGTGGCATCATCAGGCCACATGTGTATCAGAGAAAAGGTCAAAATGCTCGTGTGCCTCGGCTATGACGGTGGCGACTGTGATGGCCACGGCCTGGATTCTGACAGGCCTCGTTGGCATCATCAGCTCAACGCACTGAGCACCGCTTTAGCTCGCAGCTGGCCTGTCTGTCCGTCTGCGAGCTTAGTTAGACAGCTTGGAGTAGCCCAAGCTGTGGCATGTGCTGGCTGGTCACTACGTTATGTTGCACTCCTGATATTGCCGCCGTTTGAAAAAACCATCGGCTGTCGGCCAGCATAAACCACATCGTGTAATCATGAACCACTAAGGGAGAAAGGAAGCCATGGAGATTTTGTCTGTAACAGTTCTACAAAAAGACAAAAAGATTGGGGAAGGAGAACTATCTCGCACAGGTTGAAATCACCATTGACGGCTTGCTCACGTGTCCAAGAGCAATTAATTTCAATTCGAGACGTACAAATTTTATTTCGTGCCATTGATTGCTGCAGAACAACGTAGTGTAGGTGCAAGTTTTGTTGTATGTGCTAGATATGTTGACGACATAAGTTTAAATTAACAACGTTTACATGCAACGTTCGACGAACGGAAAGGCCGGGACATTTCTTCGGTTGTGATAACAACTTGCTATAAATATCATTTATAGCCGCAGCTGCAATTACATCGCAACAAGGAGCAACTGCCAACCACAAAGGAGCTGGTTACTATATGTGAGCTCTCTTTTATGACAATTAATTGTCCTCTACTAGATCCTCTCTTGCTGTTGGGCTTTCGGTATATGTTGGAATTTTTGGGCTTTGAAAGAAACGTCCACTCACCAATGGACCACTCACAGATCTGCTAAGAAATAGAATTTCCATATTCTCCACCGAAGTCAAACTGTTGTCTCGTTACTGTATTACTTATATATATTAGTTATAACTTACTGACACAAAACAGTATGGGGCCAGTAAGTTCCATATCGAGCCACAACGAACGCTTCCTTTTGTCAGCATGGGAGCAATAAGCTCAGTTCATTATTACTCATCAGTAGAAAAAAAGACGATTACTATTATTACTCATCGAATAGATCTGAACGCCTTTTTCATGAACGTCATCAACTTGCTTTGAGTCGGCTTCCTTTCTAGGCGCGACGTAGATCTATCTTAAGCGGGTAAGTGCATATATATTGTTTAAAAATTGAAATTTCAGTTTGCTTACTCTTGAAGAGGATTTTTAGTAACACTAGTGGGAAAAAAAACAAGAGCGGGCTTGGATGCCATTTGATAAAATTTGCCTTCGCTGATCAAACTGCGGGCGTCCAACAATTGCGTACATGTTTTTTGTGTACATAACGTGCTGATAAAGAGAGATATTTCGCGCATACGATAAGTAAACTCTGGGTGTATCGCCACCGCTAGCCTAGCCGATACGCAACCTGATTGATATTTGGTGCCAGGTGTGCGTGCGCTCTAGCGAGCTGTTGACACTAGAACTGGGCTAACAGACTGAATGTAACAGAGACTGACCAGGCTCATTCGTCGATCGTCTACTTGACGCTGACGGACGAACCTTGGACGCTAAACGTTCGTCCTGTTTCGTGCCTGCCAATCGTATGTGCTACGCGTCACCGCGGTCTGTCAAGCAGCTCGAGCCGCTTGGCTTGAAAGCAGCTCTTTGCGAGACACTGACGGCGTACTTTCTTAGAAACAGCATGCATAGGCGATAACGCTCGGGCTAAATTAAAGAAGCCATTTTAAAATTAATAGTAGAAATATCGATGTCAGCTTCACTCATTTTTGCGTTTTGCTTTGACTCATTGAATAAATGTTTTGTTTTTTTTTTATTCCTGTTTCAGGAGAACATAACTGTCCCTCTCTTTCGGGTGTGCATATAATATACTTTACTATTATTTTCAACGCTTCATGTATGAAGAGCTCGATAATAATCATGTGAAAGCGGTGCACTAGCCTCTTCCTCGGTAGGCAGATTTTTGAGCAGCAGTGGGCACATGGACGGAAAGCTAAAAACCGAATTTGTGGGTTACGTATCTGTAGACGTACAACACCCGCATGATGAATTTTAATACATTGTCGATAATCATTTAATATGTTCATATATTATCGAACCCTCCTTAAATATATATATAACGGGGCTGAAAGCGAGCGACGGACAGGGAGAGAGTGAGAGGTTGCTGGATTGTAAATGATTGTTGTAGCGTGCATCCGTGCTTCGCGGTTCCTCCACTCTGTAACGACACGTGCGGTTGCAAGTTTTGCAACACGCGGCACGCCCTAACCTGAGACGATGAGTCTGTTTTGTTTGCTCAGTCTTGTTGACCACGTCCAATCAAAATAGGGCGTCAACTGCACTTCTGTCTATACGTCTTAGATAGAGAAAGTACGTGACGTAACCGACAACAGGGTCCGACCGCCCTTCTGACGGGCACGATCGACAACACACCTTTGGATGTAAGAGCGTTTTCTAATGTAACGTTTCAATAGCCTTTTGCTTGGCCAGAATTGTAATCATCATAGTTGGATTCTTATCGATCATCATGTCTAACGGTCGGATATGTCAGCAAAGTTCAGTGTCTGCTCGATTAAGACTAATTATGCGATTAAGACTAAGCAATGTTTGGAGTTTTATTTAATAATTGCCTTATTATTTCCTCAAGTGTTTTGCAGAAGCCTATATATACGTACCTATTTACGATCTGGAATATTTTCCGTAAGGCAGATATGCATTCTCTATTTAGTTCCATTTTTGGCCGGATACACACTCGCATATACTGACAACAGTCAGTTCAGCAGAGCTATTCAAACAGTATTTGGATTGTTTCCATACTTATGTGAAAAGCATACTACAGAAAATGTTAAAGATAATATCAAATAAGTGCCTTTATTTACAGAAGCTATGTCTTTATATATCGTTGCAGGCGAATCCGGCAAACTTTGAAACAGTCGGACTAGAATAAATTTTTGGTTTTTTTTCGTTCATTTTATTTTTGAAACATTTCGATTAGCGCTGCGGAAGTTTTTGAAGAGCCATAAACCTACGATTCACGTTTCCACATGTGGTTCTTCATTTGTGGCTTCTTGAAGCAAATCGATGATGGGATAGAGTGCCTACCCACTAGTTACCCCTTTTAGCGCATAAATCATACGGACACACAGAAAGAATAAGCGGATTGAATCCAATGCTTTTTTTTTAGCTTTAGCAGGAGGTAACTGAAGCATTGTGATGAGGTCCGGCATTGCTATAAAGTAAGCAGACTGCATAATTTCAATAACCTTGCCAACGATCCATGAGTTCCTTAAAGGAGATAGCGTGCTGCATTAATTATCAACATTGTTTTATTTTCGGCTAGTATCTTATAGTAACAGATTCCCCTGATGCCCAATACATATACCATTACCACCTTACGTCCAAAACTGCTACAGGCTACGACTAAACTCAATTTCTCTCTAGGGCATTGCCATTCACTCGCCTGGTTGCTCTCCGGCGACGGTACAGATTGAACCACGTGTGTTGCGATCATGTCTTCCAGGCATTTTTTTGTCGATTAAAACTCTGCAAATTGCACGTGGGTTACACTACACGCATTCTCATCCTAATTCTCGGGGGACCCATTTTTTACTCAGTTTCCGCAATTTTGCTATTTGGACCACAATTCTGTAACATGTTAAATGTCCGTTTTGGCCGACGAAGCCCTGAGGCCTTAAGCTATGCTTTT